GGGAATGGAGGAGGGTGCAGGATGCAGCATGCTGTGTGGTTAGGGTGCAGCCTATCGCACACGATGATAACAATCAAGGCTTTCATACCTGCATGACGGCCCTGTGCTCATAGGCCGCGACACATGCTCCGGTCTCGAAGTAGGCGCTCTCTGGCATGCGCATGTAATTCAGTCGCGTGCGGTCGTGAATGAGTGACAAGCGCCTGTCCATAGACATCAGTTTAACGGCGGCACAAATCCAGAAACATGTCAGTAAGAGCACAGTAGTTTTGCTTTGAGTTTTTGTGACCAAGAGCAACGAATCCAATCCCCCAAAACACTGACCTGACCATCTGCTTCATGCGCCGCTTCTTCATCTTGCGCACGACATCCACAATATGGCTCATGATGCCCAGGTCCGCCTGGTGCATGATGTCAGGCATGACAACGAGGTAGGGATTGCCCCACGCGGTCCCTGGGACATCCCACTTCCAGAGCACACACTGGAAACCGGGGATGTGGTGGGGAATGGAGGAGGTCTGTACTTCTGAGACCCGGGCAGCCAACGTAAACAAAATGCCTGGTGATTTGAATGGGGCACAGCACATCTGACCATTCCTCGGGAATAAGGAGTGCATAGACTGCACAGTAGGCCGGGCAACATGTCGCTTACCTCAACAGGGTAGGTTGAGTAGGTCTTGCAGGGGTTGTCCTGGTTAATTGTCATCCCAGCCGCCTCGTTAACGATCCATTGCTGCTGTTCAGGCGTGCGCGGGATGTTCCGTGCCTTGACAGCAACTTGATGCTCCTGTTGTCGCACGGGGGTGTGGGATGGGATACAACGGTAAGGGTGGTGAGTTCATGGGTTGTATAAGGCGACATTCAAACGACAATGTCTTCGGCATGAAAGCTCACCTTTGCAGCATAGCAGATGCTGCACGGCATCCGCGATCCATGCGAGAGTGTGCAACTGATCTTGCCGCTCTCGGGGTAGTCGCACACCCAGGCGTACAGCAAGGGCCGCACGGTTTGCCAATCACCGAAAGGGTCCCTAAGACGGAACCCGCTGCAAGGAACAGGTAGAGTGGCATCAGGAATTGGGAGGACATGATTTGTGCATGTACGAAGAGGGGCAAAGGGGACTGCTACATATCGTGACGCCCTGCATACTATGCAGGTGATTGGGTGACGACATAGCAAGATGCAACACCGGGTACGGACCTTTCCATGCCATCGAGAAGCGGCTGCAGCACAGTGGTGACGCATCGCTGGAAGAGCATCACCTTCTCCACGGCAGACATTGCAGAAGGGGGGATAGGAAGGAGGGCAAGTAACGTGTGGCCGGCTTTCCCCCATCGTTTGGCCTGGGAGATGTTGGCAAGCGTCATCATGAGCGGCCACGCCTTCTTCCGGCCGTTGTTGCTCATGTGCGTCACATCTGAATATAGGATGATTCTCCCCACGACTTGGGTCCATCCAAAGCGTTCCTGCAATGCACGACAAGGCGGCAACGGACACACGGTCAAACACCACCAAGGTAACTGGTCGCCAGGTGGGTTAAACGACCTTCATAGCATGTTCATCGAACATGACACACTCATCAAGCACCAGACACATCAGCGCAGCAACGGAGGCATGAGCACAGATCCGGTTTTGGGTGGCAACGGGGTATATCCATACCTGAGCATCATTCCACCACGTTCCTGTTTCTGGCGTGGTATAGCAACGGTCGCCTGTGTCAGGGTCCTCATCGACCCGCGCCTTGAGCTTGAAGCCGGGCGCGTTGTTGGTATGCCCAAATAGTTCTGCGAATGCCTGGTTTACGGTGGCGAAGGCAGTAAAGAAGAGGGGCATGGTTAGATGCGTTGATTGGTGGGTCCGATCTCATACAAGGAGAACGAATATAACTTCATACAAGCACCACAAGGTTGCCGCATCAGCATTTCACTGCCAAGGATTCAGAGTCGGCTTACCTGAGCTGAGTTTTGGAATAGCAGGCACTGAGGCGGATGACCGTCAATCTCGAATGTCGCCACCGACCATCCGCAATTGAGCCCTGCCAAGCGCTCCATCTCGAACCGCTCCAGATCCTTGCAGTTCTGGAGCTCCGAGGTCACAAGAGGTGCAAGGGCGGGCTCTACCACGAGCTGAAGCAAGCCAGTGATGTCAACCTCTGCCATTCCCATTCCGCCATTCACACGCCGAACGAAACGAAGCAGCTTCAACGCGAGCGGATTGAGGGGCGTGGCATTGCTCTGTCCGGAGATGGTTGTAGGCGGCGAGGCTTGACTCCCTTCAGGCTGGCTCTCAGGATGCTCATTCGTGTCAGCTGCAGGTGTTCCTGGTGGCGGTTGATGTTCATCTTCCGGAGCCCCCTCGTTAACGTCCGAGGGTGTTTCGTCCTCGTCAGCTTCAGGCACGCGAGGAGGACCGCTCACACTGACGGTGTTGGATGCGTTAGATGCGGTAGGTGAAGCGGGAGCAGCGGGAGCGTCCGAGAGAATGTCGTGACAAGGGGTCCGCCGTGACTTATGACCGCCATAAACTTGGGCGTTGGGGAACCATCTGTTGCAGAACTTGCAGACAACGCCTGGCAAAGAGCCCATGTGTTACGGATCCGTCTTAGAGTGGAGTAATGGCCTATGAAGCAACTAGCCTGTTTGAAGTTTGTGAACGCATCATATACACCGTCAACGAAGGTTGTGACTGCAACACGGTCATCGCCAAAGTGCGAACTCTCCATGGCGGCTTGTATCTCTGCACGACTGGCACTTGAGCGTGGCGCGATGGTTAGGGACTGGCTAACGATGGTCGAACAGCGCGGCCGTGAAAAGGCATGATACAGACCGCCAACAGCACGGCATTTCCCTTTCCTACAAGGCGTGTCGCCCCCTCTTAGAGCGACCACGACGTGAGCAGGGCCATATGCACTGGAGTTGAGCACGCTTGGTCGTGAGTGTGCGTCACGAGCACGGTGAGAAGTACGTGCCTCTTGATTCAAAACTTGGGTTTTTGAATCGTGCGTGAGAGTCGAGGGGGGTGAGGAAGAGAAGGACGAGATCCGTTTGGTGCTGTGATTCTTTCTCGAGTGCTATAGGGGGGAAATTGCAATCACGAAGGTGAGCCCAAAGTGGTGCGCACCTCTAGAGACTTAATCCAAACCAGGTAATGACAATGTACAGTTACATTCTACATAGACACTCGATTCAATTATAATTAGTATTATACAAACATACTTATGGGCCTGCACAAAAACAACCCCTAATTGACAACTGTAGTGTTTGTAAACCCTCCTAGTTCTCTAGTGTGGTATGGAAACATACGGGTATTACCCATGAAGTCAGTGTGTTTCTGTAAGATTGTTGCATGTACCGAATATGTATATCGTCACTTCTCAAGAGGTTTTGGGGACCTCAAAGCACCGTGCTGCATTAACATGCAAGAATGGAGCCCAATCTAATACAATAATACAAGGGTTTATTACCACAACGGTTTCACCATGACATGCAACACATGGAAGTGAACGATGCAGCGTCGCCCTGTATAAGCATGGCTATCGATAACGCTGCACTGCTTGTGCGTTAGCCCTCTGCTTCATACCACTCCCTTTATGCACCTTGTATAAGGTCCATGCAAATATTGAGCACATTCCAACACCATACCACAACGGTTTAACCATGTCGCGCAAAACATGGGCCTGAACGATGCAGCGTCGCCCGGTCTAAACATGGCTGTCCATAATGCATCACCGCTTGTCGTTAGCCCTGTGCTTCAAACTAAACCCTTTATGCACCTTTTACAAGGTCCATGCAAGAATTGAGCCCAATCCAACACCATACCACAACGGTTTCACCATGTCGCGCAAAACATGGGCCTGACCGATGCAGCGTCGCCCTGTCTAAACATGGCTGTCGATAATGCATCACCGCTTGTGCGTTAGCCCTGTGCTTCAAACCAAACCCTTAATGCACCTTTTACAAGGTCCATGTAAGAATTGAGCCCAATCCAACACCATACCACAACGGTTTCACCATGTCTCGCAAAACATGGGCCTGAACGATGCAGCGTCGCCCTGTCTAAACATGGCTGTCGATAACGCATCACCGCTTGCGCGTTAGCCCTGTGCTTCATACCACACCCTTTATGCACCTTTTATAAGGTCCACGCAAGTGTTGAGCACAATCCAACACCATACCACAACTGTTTCTCGTTTGGCATCGTCGTGTTAGATTTCGTACAGCAACGCGTAACCGTTGTGGCATAGCCTAATAGTGCTTAGTTCAATTGTATGAAGTAATAATTCTGGACGCTCTTTGTGTGTGTGACATGATACAAACCCACTACCTTGCCACAACCCCAGACTATTACATTAGCAACCAATTTGTTGTTGATTGTATTTATTGTAGTTTTAAATGTTATTTAGCTCGTATGTGCAACATTGTTCGTTCGCGACATCACTGTACTTTGCAGGGTTTAGGTTGCGTTCGCTCAATTGGTTCAAAAACTGTTCTAGCATGACAAGTGATTGATACGTTGGCAACACTGATTGGCCGACGCATCTCAAACGACAACTCCCGCAACACAAGCACCCGCCAAGCGGTACATCCGCCATTAAAGCGGCTGTGATCGAGCGGTGGGTGGGTTTATGATCGGGTGGCTAAACGTACACCGTCCGATCTAGCCTGATCTGATTACAATCATCTCTCTAGTCTCGCCAGCCATCCCAACCACCCTCGTGCCCCACCCACCTGTTTCCGTCACCCTCTGGCCCACAACTTTGACGCTGCTCGCTGTTTGACGCAGGCGTTTCCAGATCGCCCGTGACTCACCAGCTAACGAAGGTAATGGGCCGTAGCTCTGTGCTTAGTGACTACTACTTCAGTGTTAATTGAAGCGGAGGTTTTCGGAGATAGATGATTGAATAGACCGTCGAGTCTCCCTTCGTTACATTCCTTTGCGGTTACCCTAGTAAACCGCCTCCACCGTCACGCACGTTAGAAATTAGCATTCGTACTACAACCATGACATATGCAACTCGGCAAAAAGAAAAGGAGGAGGAACAGACCAGACGACGCGCGACAAGGAGGTTGTCTCTTCAGACCGATCGGGAGCGTGGTGGCGGATCTAAAGCTACTAATGCGTCCGCCGCGACTGGCATTCAACAGAAAAAAGTGGCGGGAAAAAAGGCCGCGCAAGGACAGGAGAAGTCTGGGAAGAAGGCGGAAGACAAGGGGAAGCAACCAACGCCACGCAAGCGTGTTTCTACCGTGAAAAAAGATGCGGATGTTGCCTCTGGTGGAACCGAGCCCAGTCCGACTAACGACGGCACCATCGGCGGCAAAGAAGATCCGGGGCGAGGGAGCGTGATTCTTGCAGTCCCGTTGGCGAAGAGGGAGGGCTCGGCGACAGGGGGAAACCACGGCGACGCTCCCCGCGCCAAGCATGCCGCAACCCAGGAGTCCAAGGCGGAGGCATACCAACACGGACTGACACTGCTCCAGCCGACCGTGGTCGATATTTCTGCTGCCGTGGTGGATAAGGCCAAGGCGGGGGAGCACGATTCGATGGAGGATCTCCAACACAGCATCGCGGACGTAGGTGGCTCTCCTCCTTCTGGTGGACGTGGGAGGCGTAGGCAGAGGAAGAGCGATGGGGAGGAAGAGTATGACACCGCCGTGCCCGGGGACATCAATACGCGGTCGAAGAGGCGGCAGAAAACAGGCGGTGCTCACGACGCCGGTGGTGCGGAAGTTGGGACAACGCGAGGCGCCAGGGAAGCAAGCGGCAAGGCGACGGGTCATGCATTGCGCAAGAAGGGCCGACCCGCAGCGAGGAGAACATCCGGTGGAATGAGGGGCAAGAAAGCGGGGGATGCGGGGGATGAGGAGGAGGAGGAAGAGGAGGAGGAGGAGGAGGAAGAGGAGGAGGAGGAGGACGACGAGGAGGGGGGCGACGAGGATGAGGAGGAGGCGGAGGAGGAGGAGGAGGAGGAGGAGGAGGAGGAGGAGGAGGAGGAGGAGGAGGAGGAGGAGGAGGAGGAGGAGGAGGAGGAGGAGGGACGACGAGGATGAGGAGGAGGAGGAGGAGGAGGAGGAGGAGGAGGAGGAGGAGGAGGAGGAGGAGGAGGAGGAGGAGGAGGAGGAGGAGGAGGAGGGGGAGGAGGAGGAGGAGGAGGAGGAGGAGGAGGAGGAGGAGGAGGAGGAGGAGGAGGAGGAGGAGGAAGAGGAGGATGTGGCGGTAGTGAAAGGACGGGGCGGGCGAGGCAGACAGGGAAGTGGTACAGGGAAGGTGGGGGGCCGGACTCGCCATTCCCAAAAACGCGGGGCGGGTGACGCCCTGCGTGGCGAAGCAGCGGGCAAACCGAAGACGCGTAAAGTGAAGGTCGAAAACGAAGGAGTTGGTAAGAAGCAAGGGAGCCAGGGATCAAAAGGGGATGGTGAAGGAAAGGGCGGCCGCGCCAAAGGGGTTCCAGTGGGTTCCGGCAACAAAGAACCAGCCGGTAAACGTCGCAGCGGCCGCCAAAACACCCCGCGGAAAGGTGGCAACGAGAAGGCGCAGGCAGCAAGAAAACCGAAGGGACAGCTGAAAGGTAAGCACTGTGGCCCATACACATGGCGTGGCTGCTGAACTCTCTGCTCAACCGTGCCAATTAACACATTTCTTCACATTGTTTCTCCCCTGCAGGGAAGGAGATGGTCGACGAATCTGCAAAGCTTGGCCTCTTGTTACAAAACAGTAACCGTTTTAACCCGATTTAGATTCAAAACGCTGATCGTACGCAAGCATGTGTGCCCCTGTATTGAAACTAATCGACTCTAATTTTGTGCTCCTGCTCCCTATAAATCTCAGCCCCTCGTGTTACAGGCATTGGGCCACCGGTAAGCGTGCAACGGATGCAGCTAACGAAGGGGGCCGGAAGAGCGAGTGTTACCCCGCTATCCACAGAAGCCCCAAGGTTCTACACGCCATACTCCGGCCCGTCTAAAGTCGTTGCCAGGGCACCCGGCGCACCAAGAGGAGAGGAATCCGAATCCCCTCCACCAGGCCACGTCACGCACTCCCCACTCGCCTCACCCACATACCCATTTTGGCAGCTCCACGCTTCTCCTGTCTGGGGCAGGGCCGTCTCCCCCCTCGCCGGTCCTTCGCGCGGGCAAGGGCCAAGCACTTCTGCCAATCCCTTCCCTGAGCTGCCCTTTTCCCGCCAGCGTGATAGTGTGAGGGCACACGGGACTGTTGCAGAAGACGTTGATCCCCTTGGCCAGAAGGGGGATTCTTCACACCCTTTTCCCCCGCTCTTGGGTGCCCTAGGTGAAAGTGCGGAGCACGAGCAGTTTGTTACACGGGAGGAGTTCCAGGCGCTACGGTCTGAGATGTACGCCATGTTTGCTCAGCTCGGCCTGCGTCGTGGAGCACCTGCCAGTTATGCCGGGGGGTCCGCAGTGGTGCCTATGAAAGGTATCCCGCCGCCGATGAGTGCCGTGGAGAAGGCACGAGTGCTAGTGTTGCAGGAGACAAACCCATTCCCGGTATGTGGCGGGCCAAATGGAGCGGGTTGGGGTTGACGTAGCAACCAGGGCGGGGTTGGGGATGACGTGGCGGTTTTGGAGGGTATAAGGGAGCGGCGCATGACGAGGCGAGGCGTGTTAGGTGGGTGGGGGGTGACGTGGCTTGGGGTGGGGGAGGGTGACGTGGCGGAAGGTGAGGGTTGGGGATGACGTGACGGATGGGATGGGTACAAGGGAGCGGCGCATGACGAGACGAGGCGTTTAAGGTGAGGGTTGGGGATGACGTGGCTTGGGGTGGGGGGGTGTGACGTAGGAAATGGGGCGGGTTGTTGGTGGACGTGGCCGATGCAGGAGGGTGTGACGTGGCGGAAGGTGAGGGTTGGGGATGACGTGGCGGTTTGAAAGGGCATACGTGAGCGGCGCATGACGAAGCGAGGCGTGTCGGGTGGGTGGGGGGGGACGTGGCTTGTGGTAGGGGGGTGTGATGTGGCAAGTGGGGCGGGTTGTTGGTGGACGTGGCGGATGCAGGAGGGTGTGACGTGGCGGAAGGTGAGGGTTGGGGATGACGTGGCGGTTTGAAAGGGTACACGTGAGCAGCGCATGACGAAGCGAGGCGTGTCAGGTGGGTGGGGGGTGACGTGGCTTGTGGTAGGGGGGTGTGACGTGGCAAGTGGGGCAGGTTGTTGGTGGACATGGCGGATGGCGCAGGGTGTGACATGGCAAGTTCACACAGTGTTGCTAGTCACCATCCCCTGGTCACGCGGCCACCCTCATAACTGCTGGTTTCTCTCTCTCATGTCGTGTTGTATACCCTACACCTCTGCGCAGAACAAAGCCTACTTAGTGTGCTCTCAACTCATGTTTCTGAACCCGCCGGAGAAAATACAGTACTACCCTACACCGGAGGAAGTGTTCGACGCGTTCTCTGTCCACTTGTCTGCAGAAGGGCTCGAGGCAATGAAGCTGCTGTGGTTGCACAATGACAAGTCAACCATGGGAGTCTTCTACCACCAGCTGTCCTAAACAAGGTCAACTATCAACTCCACCCTCAGGCCAGCAGCATACACCGGCATGGGCCTTGCCGATTACCACCATCTCGTTGAAAGCCTGCCCACTGAGCTACACCCAACGACCTGGTTCGACGATGATCAACTCCTAGCCGAGTACAGAGATGGTATGTGCAACTGGAAAACACAATATGCCAGTTGGCAGCTACATATCACCGTGCGATGTGGCTCACCCTAACTCTCATCCCCCCACTTGATTTCTCTACAAAACCATTTCCAACCCTTACCCTCCCTGCCAAAATGCAGAACGGTGGGCCCTCAACTGGCATTTTGACAAGGCCACCGAGACGCCCTTCAGCAACCCCTTGTTCGCTTATGCGTTCAAGCTCTCCTTCAAGAGGGGCGGGGCGGTGTTCACTAAGTTCAAGAGCCGCATGGTGGCATGGGGCCTGTTTTCGGTAAGGATGTAGATATGTGTTTGTACCCCCATGCCTCATCCCCTTCACCCCTTGCTTGTACTTCAGCTAAATCCCTGGTCAATTAAGCCTTTGGAGTTACGTAGATAGGACGACTGAATCACCGCTTTCAGTTGGCTCATTTACCCGCAACCCACCCTCCTCGTAAACCATCCACCCAACCCTACACCACATTGCAGATCGAATGGCCCCTTCTGCAGGATAAGCGTCGCAAGCGAATCAGTAGCCAGCCGGAACAGAACAGGCCAGACTACCAGGAGTGGTGCGAAAAGGTCAAACAAATGATCCACTTTGCTGTCGTGGAGCAGAGGATCCCCCACGATCCGGCGAGGGGTGCGTTCGTCTTTCCGAACAAGTTCCTCATCGACGATGGCGACCTAGGAGATGTCGTCCTTGCCCACCGGGCGCTTTCAAGGCCCGCTAGTGCGTAGGCTATTTGACCTGGTGCTAAGACTGATTGTAGCTAGTGGAGTGCTGAATAATGGTTGTTGTAAACCGCAATAATAAATGCAATTTTAGAGATCCTCAATATCCAAAATAAACAAAAACAGAATTTAGTTTTGAATAATTTGGTCACGAATTTGCAACAAAACTGATTGCGCCCGAATGTCATCCGGAAAAGCACGCGTGCCAAATTGGAACTTGAACCGAGCCAAACGTTGTCGCGAGATGTGTCTTGGAGCTCCTATCAAATGACTCCAACCGTCGGTCCAAATTGAATCCGGATTTTTAACGCGAAGACAATCGAAATCAAAATTCGTCCAAACTTGGCATAGGGTTTTTGTGATGTAGTGACCCGCCCGCCGCCCCTGCAGCCAGCGCGCCGCCTGCTAGCGGCCCACCAGCCGCCCCTGCAGCTAGTGCGCCGCCCGCTAGTGGCCCGCCAGCCGCCCATGCAGCCCGCACGCCGCCCGCTAGCGGCCCGCCAGCCGCCCCTGCCGCCCGCGCGCCGCCCACTATCGGCCCCGCCGCCCCTGCCGCCCGCGCGCCGCCTCTGCCGCCCGCACGCCGCCCGCTAGTGGCCCGCCAGCCGCCCTTGCCCCACGCGCCCGCTATCGGCCCGCCAGCCGCCCCTGCCGCCCGCGCGCCGCACGCTATCGGCCCGCCCGTCGCCCCTGCCGGCCGCGCGCTGCCTGCAAGCGGCCCCCCAACTGCCCCTGCCGCCCGCGCGCCGTCTGCTATCGGCCCGCCAGCCGCCCCTGCCGCCCGCGCGCCGTCCGCGCGCCGCCTGCTAGTGGCCCGCCAGCCGCCTCTGCCGCCCGCTCTCGACCCGCCAGCAGCCCCTGCCGCCCGCGCGCCGCCCACTTAAGGCCCGCTTGCCGCCCCTTGCAGCTCGCACGTTGCATCTTGCTTCCTGTGCACCGCCCCTTGCAGCCTGCGCACTGCCTTCTCGCAGCCCGCTCGCTCCCCCCCCCCTCTGCGCTCCCCGGCTTCTGCCCGCCCTGCTTGCTGCGCCGCTATGGCTTCTCTTCGCGTTCTTGCGTTCGATCATGAGGGCCGCCTGATCCAGTTTGACACGTGGCTTGACAACCTGCACCTTTACCTCCTGAGCGACTCTAGCTCACCCGTCGTTGTTTCTACGCACCGACACGTCTCTGCCGTTGTTCTACGTCCTCGTATACGTTGACGACCTCGTCTTTGCCACTGCTGACACTGAGGCACTGACCCTTGTGAAGTCAGAGCTGCACAAGAGACACATCTGCACTGACCTGGGTGAACTGCGCAGCTATCTTGGCTTGCAGATCACCTAGGACAGAGCACGGCGCACCATCACACTGACTCAGTCACACATGGTGCACCAGGTCTTTCAGCGCTTCGGCTTCCAGTTCTCCTCGCCACAGCCCACTCCTCTGTCTACCGGTCACTCGGTCTCAGCTCCACCTTCGGACGAGTCCGTAGAGCCGAGTGGTCCGTACCCAGAGCTTGTGGGTTGCCTCGTGTGCCTGGTGACGTGCACACGACCTGACCTCGCGTACCCTCTCAGCCTCCCGGCTCGCTACGTGGCTCCCGGTAGGCACCGAAAGGTGCACTGGGATGCTGCGAAGAGGGTACTGCATTACTTGTGCAGTACGTCGGGCAT